AATTTCTAAATGTAAAATGTGAACTCAACAGAAGCTAGTAGGTTAATACCTTCTTTTAAATTCTATTTATTAACAATTATGTCAAGGAAAACATAATTGGTTTCTCTAGGAATAATGTTTTTAAAAAATAACATCTGACAACTTAGCATTCATCCAAAATGAGATTAAATGAATATATAAGAAACAGTCAGTTTTTGTGTTGTGTTATCAATAAGTGTACATGAAAATTACAGAAAGTTTGTACATATCTAGGCATACTTTATAATTGTACAAAATACTGGGAAAAAAAAAGATGCTCAACAATTTGAGCTGAATCTGTGTATGAGTGTTGCTGCACAAGAAGAATTTTTTATAAGCCACATATAGAGAATAAGCTCTCTCTCTCTATACAGAAACCGGCTTAGCAGGTTGACTTCCATTAGCCAGGCAGGCCTCAGTGTAGCAAACTCCGACCACAAGAGTTTCCCACACATTGGTCGCTACTTCCGTTGGCTCTCACAGGGCTTTCCTTCCCCACCCACCAGACGCGGGACGTCGTCCTACCGCCTGGTACCCAGCTTGTTCGTTGGGGGCGTTCAGCCAGATAAAAAACCTCTAGCTGCTGTTGGTTACCACTAGCCATTCCGCACCCATTAGGGGGGTCATGAGCTTGGTCCTACTAGTGGCACTCTTCCGAAACCACGTGAAGGCCGCAGCTTAAAGTCAAAATATCTGGTTAGGGTCGAGAGCAAACCCTTTTTGGTTCCCTGCAGTCTTGCACCTCTTCTCCCCCACGCTATTATGTAGGGGACTTACGTACCAGGCTCTTCGGAATAAGCTATCACCTCTTGTATAGTTCATGAACATTAGGCATTCATGGCATTCTAAATAAAATAGTCTCCTGATCTGTAATAATTGTATTGTGACTTAAGCTGTGAGCTATTCTCTACTTCCCCACCAGACCAAAACCCTGCCAGAACTATACGAGCTGGTCAACACCTACAGGCCAGACATCATCTGGTCAGATGGACCCAATGGACCAGACACATACTGGAACGCAACTCAATTCTTGGCCTGGCTATATAATGATAGGTGGGTCATTTTTTGTGGGTTTCCATTGCATTAAAATTTAATTCAGTCTTTATACTCAATATATTCATAAATCATGTAACCGCTTGGATAAGAACAAATAATTAAATTTCTTCTGTTAATGCTGGAAATGGTCGTTAATAACATTTTGTAATGTCAGCCCAGTTAAAGATGATGTTGTGACCAATGACCGGTGGGGAAACAATGGGATAATGTGTAAGCATGGAGGATATTACACCTGTGATGACCACTACAACCCAAGTAAGTTGATGACAGGGCTTTTATACACTGATTTGATTGTGGGGGGGGGGGGGGGTGGATGTATGTGTAACATTTAGTTCAAATTGAAAAAACTAACAAAATTTAAAGTTAACTAGAACTAGAATTGCAAGAATCAAATATGTGTTATAATATTATAAATATAATTGTAATTAATGACAAAGTGAAACATTGAAGTTTTAGACTGATAAGTGTGAGAGTAAATGTGTAAAAATATTTCTTTATTTTGATCACAGGTTACTCCTGTATTAAATTTTTCTTGTAGAAACACTTCAGGGTCACAAGTTTGAGGATCCAACAACAATGGACAAGAAGGCTTGGGAGTTTAGAAGGGATTTGAAGTTAAGTGATGTTCACACGATGGAGGAAGTTACAGCTTTGATTGCACAAGTTGTTAGGTCAGTATGGCAGGCATCCGTGTAGGTTTATGGTGCAGATAGTTTAAACTTATTGTACTTAACTAAACATTTGCAAACAATCCTGTAAAAAAATTGTGGCAAAAATTTGAGAATTTTTCTCCCCTCAGCTGTGGTGGGAATTTGTTGATCAATGTTGGACCAACCAAAGAGGGGACCATCCCTCCAATCTTTGAGGAGAGGCTGAGACAAATGGGAGAATGGCTGAAGGTCAATGGTGAGGGGATCTACGCCACCAAACCATGGAGTCACCAGAATGATTCTGTCAATGGAGATGTTTGGTGAGATTATTGTTTGCCAATTTGAACTGAGTTAAATTAAGTGTAAAAAAAGGTTTTGATTAAATGATTTAGAGTGCTTATTAATTATTATCAGTTGCCATAAAAAACTGCGTGGAACAGAGTAATTGAATGGTAGAACATACGACTGCTAACTCAAAAGCCTCAAGTGCTAATCTGGGTACAAATAAGTAGAATGTCCCTGAGTCCACCCAGCTCTGATGGGTACCTAACTCACATAAGGGAAAGTAAAGGTGACTAGGCATAGTGCTGACCACACTATCCCTTCTAATCCCAAGGTCACAGAAACAGGTGAACTATTCTTCACTAGCTCCATGGTCCATCTGGTTTGAAAGGGAACTTAACTTATAAAAAACTGCAGTATTGAAAACAAAATTTGAATGTTTTGCTTGCAGGTACACATCAAAAGAAACAGATGAAGGAACGGATGTTTACGCTGTGGTCTTGAAGTGGCCACGTACTCCAGTCTTGTTACTTGCTGACCCGGTCCCAACAGAGACCACAGTGGTCACATTGTTAGGCTACTCATCCAGTTTCCAGTGGAGTCACTCAGGCGCTGGGCTGGCCATTGTTATCCCACCCATACCCTTTAACCAAATGCCTTGCAAGTGGGCGTGGGTGTTTAAGTTGACAAATATTTGGAACTGAGGACCTGCTAAAACATTACAGCATAATATCTTGGTACATATTTAGAGATCTACAACTTACATCGACTTGCATTCTACAGGAATTGTGGTTTTATTTTTATTAATTGAACAGTAGTTATGAATGATCTGTATTTTACTTTATTGGTGTTTCTAGAGTTTATATCACCAGACTTTGTAAGTTAGACACTTCCTAGCAGAGCTAATCTATACAAACTCTGGTCACTGTTGGTGTTTTTTCTTTTGCTTTATTTTAGTTGTTTTTTTTATTCTCAGTGGGTTATTTTTAAATAATTTTTTAATACTTCATTCTGATTCTCAAAAGAAAATATGTATTTTTATCTTTTGAACATGCAAGCTATTTTTATTTGTGTTATGATGCATGCTTGACTAGGGCAATGGGTGCGCATGATTGATGGTGCGGCCATATATTGAACGAGTGAGTGTGTGACGCTGTACGCAAGAAAGTGACGTTTTAGTGTGAGTTCGTTGTTGCCGGGGAAAGAAGCTGAAGTTAGTCTTGTCCTGCTGCTCCACCAATGTTGTGTTCTATGTGTTCTATATGTGTACCACAGTTATGCAGTGAGAGGGTACAACTACCTGATCCAATACCATCTTTCCATATCACCACCATTTGATTATGTTTAGCTATCCTACAGTATATCTTGGGACACGACGACATCAACGCTACGAATGATTTAACAGAATGACATCGGTTACTAACTCTATTTATTGCACAATAAATAATGGGCATCGGACAGCTTGGACAAACGATACTACAACTAGACAACCTAACTCTAACATAACACGGACAAGACTAACTTCAGCTTCTTTCCCCGGCAACAACGAACTCACACTAAAACGTCACTTTCTTGCGTACAGCGTCACACACTCACTCGTTCAATATACGGCCGCACCATCAATCATGCGCACCCATTGCCCTAGTCAAGCATGCATCATAACAATTTGCATGGATTATATATACTACTATATATGTATGCACATTCCAGAAACATTTGTTTATGTACTCAAAAGCCTTCTTGCCTTAAAGATATGATGCACATCATTTGGTATTTTTTATTTTTTAAGTTACTTTACATAGTTGGTTTATGAACAAATTTTATTTTCTGCCTATTGTGACAGAAAGAGAAGAAATATTATTTGTTGCAATGTAATAGACTACATCTTCAAAGTATTTTAAAATACTATAGAAATCTGTGATTTCATGATAAACATTCTTTTTATTTGCCAATGTGTTAATAATATACTTATTATTAATAATCTTTTTGTACCTATATCAGTTTTTCAAAATAAATAATATTTACCTAATTTTTTGCTTTCATGGTGGTAATTTTAATTAATTTAAATAAACTATCTTTTAATGATGTGTGATAAGGGTAAATGACAGTGCTAGAACCAAAACCTGAAGATCATGGTGAAGGACAGCTAAAGAAAGCACCAGTGAATTAAGTTCACTGGTGAGGAAATGTTCTTGAAATAATTACATTATAAATAAGCGTGTGGTATCTAGCGCTAAATTAAATAATAAAAACTTAAAATCTACCTAATTCAATTATTTAATTATTATCCATTTAATTAAAAAATAAGTGTGTTCCATGTATGGTGTAAGGGAAGTAACAAATAGAAGTATTATCTTTTTAGTTTGGTAAGAGTTCCGTTTCTTTAAAAATAAAATAATTTAGTTTAAGCACTGAATATTATAATCATATTAAATTTTTTTGTAATTGAAAATGATTTTCAACTACAAAAGTATCACTACATGGACAATTTAATAGCAAAAACACAACTTAATTTTTTTTTAAATATGAAAGGGAAGAAAGTAAGACTTTATTATAGCTTCAAAAGTATTTACACTGTTGTGTCCCTTAGACCACAATTCAACTTTCAATAAATTTTATTGTTTAGGCAAATATTTGCAAACTATTGTAACATTATGCACTGCTAAAATTAATTTATACTACTTTTGGATTTCATCTCATCTAAGTAACATTTTCCTAAGAGACTTTAAAAAAATAACTACTACAAATGCACGTTGATTAATAGATTAAGGTAATAATGTCATTTGCAGATTTTCTCAAAAAAGATTCCCTAAATAAAAATATTAAATAAATTACTTTATGGTATTTTTTGACAGTAGAGTGCCATCAAGTAATGAAACGTGAAGGCCGATGCAGTTAAGCGTTCATATCTTTTTTTTTTTTATTCAAGAGTTTTGTTTCAGATTAAATGCGTTGTTTTTTTATTGTTTAATTTTTTAAAAACTTATATTAGATTTTGTTGCGGCTTTCGAAAGCATACCAAAGGTTAGAATCTAAAGTAAAAATATTTTAATGTAAATATTATATAGGCCATAGGCCGGCATAGGCCCATATATCATATAATTTATATTAGATTAATATAATACAGGGCACATGGCCTAAATTGCTCTATACCAGAGATGATAACATTTATAAACAAATAAGGATTTATAAATAATCTAATTATAATTATTTTAACTTTAGGGTTAGGCCTAATAATTAATAAAGTAGTATATACTCTAGATCTATATATTATATATATACAGCAGTGTTTGCTATATTTGTGTAAACAGCGACCATTTGTAAATTAGAGTGATTTCCCCTGAATCTTGCACTACAATCTTACCCAAAAAACTCAAAGAAGATGAAGCTTGGTTGCATCTGATGAAAACATCATTAGTCTTTAAAATAGTCTTTATTAAGATCTATTACTAAAAAGTTTTTATAAAATTGTTTAAAAACAGGTACAATAACCTTGAAACATTTTTGTAACTTTCAAAACATCCTCCTGAAAATGTGAAATAATTACTAAAATTTAATGAGTCACCTTTTTTTTCACATTACTAGTCTCAGTCGATTTTACGTGCCTAAAACGATAGATTACCAATTCTTGATCTCATACGTCAGTACCTGTCATAGATAAGTACTTATCAAGTAGGCCTACATTTAATCCATAAACTATTACACTATTATCAACCATAGCCCATCGCTTTTCAAAAACAAATTGTGTATTATTTATTAATAATTAAGATTTAAAGGGCATGAAAAAAAAGTGCATGTAACAATACTTCAATAGGATCATTAATAATATGCTACAACAATAATCATTATCACCACAGAGATCTAGATCTAACTAGATCTAGTTAATATTTATAATAAACTAAAAGAAAATTACTAATTACTAAACTTAAATAATAATAAATAACTAATTTAACTATCTTTTAGAAAATGCATTTTTGCAATCACTTTGTAAATTGTAAAACAGTAGACCTATAGCAAAAAGTTTATTTTTCTATTTTGTGTTTACTAACTTAACTAACTACTACAATCATGAAGAATTTAAGCATCATAGCTAGATCTGACTGTAAACAGTAGTTTTTTTTTCTAAAGAACTTTTTTTTAATGTTTTTTTTTTAATTTTCAAACAAACTTTGTCACAGGATCTGGAGTACCAAAATAACATTTAATTGCAAAAGGATGGATTATCATATAGTCTTAGCTATATTTATTTTTTATGGCATAAATTAATAAATAGGCCTAATAATAATAATTTTATGGCATTTACAAAAAAAACAGCATTTTTACTGATTTTACTTTCTCGTGCACAGAGTATAGAGGAAGTATTGTAAACGTGCACAAAAATCACATAAAATTGTGACAGTTTTCATCATTTTAACCTCAGTACTTCATCATATGTACGGAGTATAGAGGACTTATTTTAATCTTTGCAATTCTGTCCGTATGTCTGTGTATGTGTGTGTGTGTCTGTAAACATAATTTGAATACCATTACAGCTAGGTTGATGAAATTTCATATCCAAGTATTATATCAAATTTGTAGTGCTGTTTCAACTTTTCAGTGATTTCCGGAAGTGGAACTTATTCTGCTTTTGGTTTTTTAAAAGTCTATAACTTGACTACTATTTCAGATAGATAAACCAACTTTCACAAATAAGAAAAAGATATAATTCTCTGCCTTCTTTCAAATTTTGAGTAATTTCCGTTGCCAGGAAGTAGTAATTTACGCTATATCTGATTTCTCAAAAAACGCATGTGAATTTATAAAGTACTAATAATATTCCACACTATTATTTTTTATACACAGATTGTTATGTGTTCACTTGGTGCGCAATTCTTTTTTCAGTGAGATTCTACTATATTTTAAAAAGTTTAAGTAATTAAAAATGGATTAAAAATCATGTCTATAACCAGAGTTGCCATCCCCCATAGTGTTATATAAGTATAAGAATATTTGAGAAAGTTTAGGGAAGATCACTCCCGGTTTATTTTTTTAGTTCAGTTTTACATCATATCAATATGTTTAGACTAAAATGTTACATTTTATTTTTACTGTGGATTTCCCAGCCGTTTGTATAAATTATGCCACATTTTCTGTTTTAATCTTATAAAATTTGTTACAAGTTAAAAAATTAATAGACTTGAGCATATTAATACTAATCAGGATTTTCAGGTAAATTTAAAATGTATTATTGTGGTTGTCACAATTTTTAATATTATAATAAAAATTATTACTTATATAGTAGGCCTGATAGAAAATTGTTTTTGACAGAATGTCGGACAACACTACTCTTTGGACAGTGATTGGTCTCCCTTTAGGGTTGCTGTCACTGATTGGCTATTTGTACAGGAGGAGAAAAAAAGTAGATGTGAAGAACAAAGTTGTTTTAATAACTGGGGCCTCATCTGGATTAGGAGAAGGTATTTTTGTGATCTTCTGCTCCCAGTAACAAATGTATGATAGATAAATATTAGTCTAAAAGTTTGTGTGTAACACTGACAGCTATAGGTAACTATATAAAATGTGAAGGTATTAATATTTTGTTCCAGGGAATTGAGTTCCTATTTCATTATTTCAAAATATTTAAGTCTCCATATTTTCATTTTAAAGAAGCTTTTACTATTGTACAAATACATCAAAGTATTTCTTTTTTTTTTGTAACTAAAATGTGATAGTAATTTAGTATCAAAGAAACTTTTTAATTATTTATTTTTAAATGATTTTAACTTTGTCCTGTATTTAACTAGAAATTTTGTAAACCAGAACAGTAAACTCCATTTTAAATAGTGCCATTATGATAGTTTTTCACTAATTTTTAAAAATACTCTTCTGCATTAAATGTACTCAATTGCTTTGATTTTCATGTTTTAATTCTATAATTATATAAAATGATACATGCAACTTTCAATACATTAAATTAGCTTGTGCTGAGGTATTTTTCAACGCTGGCTGTAAACTAATTCTGTCTGGCCGAAATCTTGAAAAGTTGACAGAGGTTAAGGAGAGACTTATAAAAAATAAGGTATTTAAACTTAAACGCATTTTGAAAAGGGAGTAAACTATGTTAATTAATGTCCTACAACCCTGTATCAAGAACATCTGTGTGGTGTTGTAATAAAATGCTTACAATAATGACCAGATATGGAAAAGGAGCAAGAACAAAAGTTGCATTAATTCATAGAAAATTAAAATATATCATGACTATGTTGTGTGTACGTATATGGCTGTATAATTACACATATGCATGTGCATAATCATATGTATATTTATATGTTTATATTGTAACCAGCTGGAAAAAACTGCAGACAATTGTTTTAAAACTTCCGATTTTTTCCCATTTTATTGTAAATTGATTTTATTGAGAATAATTATCATCAAATTTAAAAACGACACATTATGAGTGCAGTGTATTTCAAACAGTTAAAAGAACATTATTTTTCAGAAAGCCAATGCAAACACTCCAGCACTTGTGGTCCTAGATCTGGAAAACTTTCCCAGCATCCCTAGTAAAGTAGATGAGGCAGTTTCTGCCTTTGGTCACATTGATATCCTCATTAATAATGCTGGTATGAGCTACAGAGGTCAAGTAATAGACACCAAATTGGATGTTGATATGAAACTCATGGCTGTAAATTTCTTTGGTCATATTGAAATTACTAAAGGTAACTATAGTATGCAATACTGTAGCTATTTAAAATTAGCTCTGCTGTTTTTAGGTTCAAAACTATTGATAGGTATCAATCTAAAGATGGATAAATATATCATAACAAATTAAATTCTGTTAGTTATATATTTGTTAATATTATCTAATAATTAAAAGTTTTCTTTATTTTAGAGAAATTCATATTATTAATTTTTTTAATTATGCCAATTGTGTTATCTAATTTATTGCTTTTAAAATAACTCATGTAAATTTAGCTGTTGCACATCAGATGATAAAACAAGGTGAAGGTCAAATACTGACAGTGAGCAGTTTGCAAGGAAGATTAGCTATTCCCCATAGATCTGCCTGTGAGTTACCCTAGCATTTAGCTCTATAACACTCATGTATCTTGTGAAAGAATAGCTAATGATACAGTGATGTTGGTCATAAAAGATTAATGTAAAAATTATAGATATTTTTAGTAAGAGAATTTTTTGTTTGTGCAAATTCTTATCTCTCATATAATTTTCCTCAATAATTTGCTGTTTCATGAATGCATGTAGAGGTAAAACAATTATAAGCTTACATACTATACCACTCAACAGATACAGCATCCAAACATGCAATCCAAGCCTATTTTGACAGCTTAAGAGCAGAGTTGTCAGGTTATAATATCAACGTTTGTGTTGTTAGCCCACATTATATCAGCACCAACCTTTCCCTAAATGCTGTTACAAGCGATGGATCAGTATATGGCAGTAAGTCTGTTTTAGTCTTTTAAAAAACAATTTAAGTTACTTTACCTAAGGCATACCAAGATTAAAACCATTGGTAATATTATTTTTTAAAGGTTGCAATGCCAGAAGACTACACATTTTTAAACAATTGTAAATTGAATTGAATAGAAAATTTTAATCAAGTAATTTCTTGTATCTTTTACACTTCAGAAATGGACAAAACCACCCAGTCAGGATTAAAACCAGAATACGTGGCCAACCAAATCCTGTACTGTATAACCCACAAACAATCAGAGCTGACTTTGGCACCTCTTTATGTTCGCTTGGTTATTGGGTTACGAGTTCTGGCACCATGGTTGTACTTTAAAATTATGGAACACAGAGCAAAGAAAGAACAATCTTTAAGTAACAAAAAAGACTAAATTGCACTGTGGACTAGTCTAGAGGATCACACATGACTGAGAAGTGAAACTTTGACGACAGAACTATAAGTTTCTGAGCAGCAGCTTTTCAATTAGAAATATGTTTGTAAAATATCTTGTATTTTTGTGTGCTCACTAGATAGTGTTTGCTGTACCATATTTTAATATCTTTATACAGTGTCAAATTGCATTAAAATGTACATTGTTTAAAATGTACATTGGTTAAATTGTGGAGAACAAACTTTTTTATAAATAAATATTAAAACTATTGATGTTTATTGTATGTCTATTGCCCTGTGTCTCAGCTTATTTTGCATCACAAACCTTTGACTGGAAGATGTTTGTTAGCCTTCAAGACAAAACATAGAAGTTGGCTAAGAAGTTAACTTTATTTTATCCTAGTACATGTGAACTCATAAAACAATTTTAAAAATGTAGGCTATGTGTTTAGTCAATTATGTTATATACATTTTATTTAACACATGAACCTAGACATGTCACATAATTAAAATTATTTGTTCATACAATCAAACATAAAGTAACAGATTTTACTAACAGGTCCAGTAATATACATGAAGGCAACACAATTGACATAATAAACCTCAAATATTTCTTAAGTCCAAGAATATAAAAAGATACTATACACATTTAAAAGTTAACAGTTATTCCTATATCAGCCAGAAAATGTAAGAACACATCAGGGCTACCAACATAATGTCACTTATGACTTATATAATTACAGTACAGTATGAAAAATCCTTTGTATAATAATTAGAGCACCAATTAGAAGTCACTGTTTTATTGATTTTTACAGATAATACTTTAAATATATACCTTACTAAGATCAGTAAAGATATATAAACTTATATATGGAACCTTACAGTGAAGATTATTTGGAACAGAGTTTTTAACATGCTTTTTTTTCATATATTTAAACCTACAAAACTACTGGTGTGGTATAATAAGTTTTTTTAGGATAGTAGTAGTACAATTAACATCCACTAAAGTAATTCATTCTAATTTTGCTACGAATGCCATTTATAAATTTTATACAAACAGAAAGAACCAGCAGCTATTGCTAAGATATTTTGAAGAACTTTTCTTCGATAATCATCTTTTCTGACTAACACTACAGGGGTAGTTGTTGTTAAAGAATGGAGTGGAATTTTGGGTACTTTCATGAGATCATACTCGACTTGATATTTACAGCATGGGTCAAACTGCCATGATATAGCATACACACCAGCACAAACTACACTTGTGAATCCCATGGGTAAGAACACAATCCCTCGATTAGGCCAGAATAAGCCACCAACAAGACATCCCACACCAGACAAAACAGCTGTTTTGTGGAGACAGTTTCCGCATGCTATCCATCTGGCTGTGTCTTCTCCCAGTCTTGCTGGCTCAACAATTATTGTCTGAGCTTTAGTTTCCAGTGCTCTGTCCAGCTCCACTTCAAATTCTTCTGTTGAGTATTCATGCTCATAGATTTCTCGAATGATGGCAAAGTCTTGTGTCATCTGTAAACAAAGTAAGTAAAGGATATTTTTACAAATAGTAAAGCAATACAGGTCATTTGATATTTTATGTTTTGTCAATTTTACTTGTCAAATTTACGTTAAATGCTGTACTGATGCAAAATAGTTTGCAGTTCCAGTATTATAAAAAGTCAAACAATATGAAAATGTAATGATTTGTTTTTTTAATTACACTTTACAGTATCAACCATATACAGCTGATTTTCTTTAGAGCAATACTCATTTTAGAAATTTTAACTTTAATGGAAGTGGATATAAAAGTGTAATTTGTTTGTTTTTAAAAGTATTGAAAAAATATAAAATACTTGCAGGACATTAAAGTAAAAATATTTTAAAATTTATATTTAACATAAAAACAAATCAATGACAACCTAAAAAAATAAAGTAAACTACTTTAAATAATATCTTTGAAATAATTTAGTTTCAGCATCCTAACCATTTTCTGCTTGTTGAAGATTGTCAGTACAAATACAAAGTTTTTATATCCTTTTTAAAATTGTACTTCATAACCTAATTAATAATTATCTGCTTCTGCTGGGGGGAGGGGGGGGGGGGGGGGAGTTAAGAAATGTAGGTATATAATAATATTCACCAGTTAGGCCTATTAACTAGTATTTCACTTTTAATTTTCTTTTTTGAACACATTTTTCTATGTTTATGATACTGATAGAGCAATTAGAGTATGGTATGTATGTATGCCTAGTTTTGATCAGTTGATGCAATGACTGGTAGTCACTAGTACTAGTTCAGTTGACTTCATTCATGAAAAGAAAGGTGGCTATTATTGTAGACTCTATTCTCTATGGGGGTCAGAGTGGCTGCTAACCCGAAAGTCCCAAGGTCAAACTCTCAGACAGATGAGGCTCGTTAGCTGGGGACAGAAACCCATCTAGGATGGGAAAACTCCTAAATCAAACAGGAGTGGAGCCCATTAGGCAATAGGTTTACCAAGGTTGTTTTTTTCGGCAGCTCCTGTGACACTGCTGATTTCAAGTTGTACAGGTAACATCCTGTCCCTTGGATCCATCACCTGTGTGGAGAGAGGGGCCCTGATATAAAGGCGACATTTGGACCTTCTCATTTTACTCGCCAGGCATTGTGTTTTGAATCCCAATTCACAATCATCCAATGGTCTACCAGCTTATGGACCCAAATTTTTATAATTATACTCACCCTACATAGTACAGACTATACTATAGTCTATACTATATTTAAATTCTGGCATAGTTCTGGTCACATTATTTTTTATATCATCATAGGGGTCATAGAAACAGGTTAAACTTAATCTTAATTCTTATCCATAGCAACAACCATGGTGAGTGGACGAGTTACTAGATTTCTAGAGGAGGTCTAGGGGGAACTTTTACTTGATTCTTTATCAACTTTTATTTTACTGAGACTAACTACTTCTAACAAATCATCACATATCAAAGAAAAGAACTGACTTTTCACTATGTGACTTTGAAAACTACACACAGATTCTTAGTAGATCTAGTAGTTAGTAGTGTGACAGTAGTGTCACACACAAATGGCCTAAATGGCAGATCTAGATTAAAAAGAAAACTAACTGCTGAACTGACTAATTCATTCCATTCAACAACAAATTCTCTAAAAGAATCTAGATCTATGAATGGACCAATGGCAATGACTCGGCAATGAGACTTCTTTCACTCTTCAATGAGTGTCAATGACAACTTTAACTTAAAACACTGTGACAAGAAACGTGCACTGATTTGTTGTGTTGAGTGTTGATTTGCTAGAATCTAGCTGGAGCTGATAGATCTAGATTTAGACATAGATCTAGATCTTAAGGTTTACTGTTAATCTCATGAAACATATTTCGTAACTTAAAATATCTTTATTAGATCTAAAAAGGAATTACTTGAGTGATTAGCTGCAGTAGTTTATGTTGAATGTTGTTAATAGTTAATAGTTACATATGATATTTTTCCAACAGTTTTGACTTATCTGGTTAAAATAAGTTTCTTTTCAAAAGAGTGGTACATTCGTATTTTTTTTTGTTTTGTTTAAAGGGAAGCCACTGTAAATATTTCATCCTAAGTTCACGCCCCCTTTGTTACGAGGAAGAAAGCTGTAAACATTGAACATTGGTTTGTCACGCCATTGAAATTGGTGTGTAGTTACTTTACTGATTACATTTTAAAAAGTAATCAATTGATCTTTCATATGTAAATTGTTTTGTTTATCTTTATACGATCTAGAATATAGACTTGATATAGGCAAGACTGACTGTGAGACAGAGTGACAGTGAAGTGACAGACAGAGTGAGAGTCTACTCTAGTGATCTAGTAATCTAGTGTAACTCTAGCTAGAAGATAAGAAATCTAGATTGTAGATTACTAAGACTTAGATTCTAGATCCAACTTTCTTAGTTTTACTTACGCACACTCACACTGACTTACACTCAATAATACACTGTCACTGACTTATTTTTATTTTTTATTAGTAGATCTAGAATGTACTAGTTACTAAAACTAACTAACTAGTCTTATTCACTATTCACTAGTATTCACTGTATTCACTAGTATTCAGTGACTCAGTCTTATTGTTATTATTTACAGTAACAGAATTAACTAGATCTAAGTAATAGGCCTAAATTAATTAATTATCATTAGGGTAAAGGAGGGCGTTAAGAGCCACACTTTTTAGTACCTGTACATTTTTAAAGATTTCTACTAATCTAAAAAAATTTTAGTATTGAAAATATGGCAAAATTATTTTAACATATCTTACACAATACAAAAATAATAACAAAGTCTATTAAATATACTTTAAATGGGTTTAATTGAACATTTATTGTCATACCCCCGAAATCAGCATTTGGGGTGAAAGGAGCCGGGCAATGGGGCAATAAGTATTATCTCCGAGTTTAGACTAACTCCGAAATAAAAATAATTAATTTCTAACCCCAAAATAGTTAATGCTGTGTACACACACTTTAACTGATACTAGCTAACACAAGGCCCCAGTGGGTCTGGTCCAGTGTTCCCTCTAAGCTGCGCGGCTGCGCGGCCGCGCAGCACTTTCAAATGTGCCGCGCAGACATTTTCTGATGCCGCGCACAGATTATCAGAACGTCGGGCAAGCCTGATTCACTAAAAAAATTGAATTAAGCGACATTTTTAGTACCTGTTTTGTTAAACGAACAGTCTTTGTGTTTTGAGGCCTCGACCAAACTGATACTTAAAGCTTGTGACCCCTGGGGAGGGGGTGACCTCGGTTGTCATACCACAGGTCTAGTTAATGACTTAACTCTCAACTGAGCGGGGCGGGTACCGATGTGATGTCTGGGTGACACTCCCTCTGCTTGATTTAATGGTTTACCCCAAAACTGACCGTAAAAGGGATTGTGGCTAGTAGCTGACCATGCAAGGTTTTATTTTCTATTGTCACTGCCTCCCCCATCTCCCAACCCCACCCACCTCCTTGATACTATGACGGTTTATTCAAGTCAGATGCAAATTCTAGGTTACTTAACTTAAGGTGGATGTGTTTTACTCTGTTTGGTTTAAGGATTTATATACTGTATATCCAATTCTTGGGATTATTACGTGCACCTGGATCGAACTGTTTCAGTATTCAAAGACTGGTTTAGTAAATAAGGAATATAAGTTTACTACTCAGTGCTTTTTGAAAATGTTGAAAAGAAAAATGTGTGTAACAAGCGGTAAAACAATGCAGCAAAAAAAAAAAGCGAGAGATTCGTTTAAACTGGAATGGCTCAAAGTTAAAGTAACAACCGATACGCCAGATTCTAAGAATGTTTCAGTTGAATTAGGAAGCATCTATGAATATTTAGATGAGATTGGACTGAAGTGGGCTTCAGTGATTGGACTGTGCTGCTAGTACTTGTAACAAAACCAACAAAGACAACGAATTTGTCACAGGAAAGCGTTGGGAATCATGGAAGATTGACTACTGTAAACGTCATTTATTGTCTCGTGTTCACGTAGAAAATGTTGCGATTTTGTACACCCGCTCAAATGGGACTGGTCTCAAACGTCTGCTGGTTGAAACTAACACTGAGCGAGAAGAACGAATTGAACAAAATGAGCGCCAGCGTTCAAACGAGGATCAAGTTCGAATCCTAATGGATAATGTTCTTCTCGCCATTAGGATGAACGCCTCGATGCTGTCGGTACAACTGATTCATAACCACATGGTGAAGTATGTTTCTATACCAGACAGTTGGCAGAACTTCGAATAGCATCGTTCCACACGCTTATAGTTGATGAAAGTACTGACATAACAGTACATAAAATGCTAATCTTTTATTTTAAATTTCGTCCAGTCAATTATTTATTCTACAAAACCGTTTTTGGTGGAATAATTCAGCTTACCGCATGTGATGCCTCAGCTCTGGAGGCAGCCATAACACAGTACTACACTGAACATCAACTTGACATGAACCGCTTGGTAATGATAACATCAGACGGGGCATCGGTTATGTTAGGCCGTAGGAAGGGATTAGCTGCTTTACTGAAGGCTAAGGTCCCCCATCTTGTTGAACAGCACTGTGTTGCTCATCGATAAGACTTGGCACTTTCTGATGCTTGGAAAGATGTTAATTTGTTTAAAAATATTGAGGTTCTCTTACGCAGTTTACATTTTATTTAGTCGATCTTCGGTTAAAAAGGGCGCACTTGAAGAATTGGCCAAGATGCATGATATGGATGTAATTTCTTTTCGACCAATTCATGAAGTTCGTTGGTTGTCACGTCACTTTGCTGTCAGTGCTTTGGTTAGAAATCTTGATGTTTTAGCTGCCTACTGTGAAGAACAAGTCCAAGACTGCAATGATCCTGTTTGTTGTTATGTTTTGAGATCATTAAGAGATCCCCTGTATCAAGTTGCGCTTTATACCGTTAATGATGTATTAACTGAATTAGCTAATCTATCAATGTTGTTGCAGCGAAGTAATTTATCATCTATTGAAGCACATCAATTTTGCATTTCTAAAATACGCAAATTAGAAGCACAATACCTGAGTGAAGATGTATATTGGAATGATAAAGCCAAGAAAATTTTGAATGAAAACGTAGGAATCGACACAAGACAAATCACGCAGTTTATACGATAGGTCTGCGATCATTTAAATGTAAGGTTTCCAGGAGATGAACTGCAGTTTTCTTCAGCTTTGGATCATACTGGTTTTAAAAAATTGTGCATTTGAGTTTGCGTCAAAGAGATCAAACAACTGTGCGTTAAGTGCAAAGACTTGTTACAAACAACAAATGAAGAGTCATTTATCACGCAATACAATGACTTCAAATTTCAGATCAGTGAAAAACTCAAATCAGGTTCAGTAAATTCACTAACTGAAATCGCAGGAGTTACTTTAAACGATGAACAATTTAGCTCATTGGCAAAGTTAATTAACATATGCTGTACTTTTCAAGCATTCAGCGCTGATTGCGAGCGAGGTTTTAGTCTTATGAACAGCATTAAAGTGCAAGCACGAAATAGACTTGAAGTCACACATTTGGAGAATCTAATGCGAATTAAATTATATCTAAATGCTGGAGAGGATGTGGATTTAAACAAAGCATATAAGGTGTGGAAGCAAGGCAAGGTTAGACGCGAGAAATTGCAATAAATGCCCCTGAAAGGTTAGCTAATTTTGTTTTCAAGTCAGCTTTTTAAAATGGTTTACATGTTAAACTGTTGTATTTGTATTACCGTTATGGTATTAACATTATTAACATATGATTGCATTACACTAACATAGTAAGTCGACCATATAACATGTTGTCTAAGTATAACTCTGAAAGTTTCTGTTGTGTATTTTATTTTATTTTGATGGGATTCGTATCTTCTTTTAATTGCATACGTTTCACTAGTCCTACACATTATACTATTAATTTATATCAAAATGCATGCCTTCATTACTCTGCTTAATTGCAAGCCTAAACATACATATAAAGTTGCCCAAGTCATTTTTAGCACCGCGCACACAACATATTTTTTGCACACACACTCTGGGTCCTTAGAGGGAACATTGGTCTGGTCTACAATTGATACAATTGCAGTTGTACATAGGGCCTACAGTCTAGTAGTTTACAGTAGGCACATTAGTATGCCTAGTGTGTAGCTAGTATACTAGTGTGTAGCTGTCCAGAGTTAACATTCTTGTATAAAAAAAGGGGTGGTACTAACTAATCTGCCTTAATGCTTTCCCCTGATAAGCCATGTGTGCTATACATTACATAACATGACATGGAGGTGAGAAATGTTGAGGGGAGAGCAGTGGTACTGGTTTCCCCTTTGTTCTCCTTGCTGGACCCTGAGGGCCATAAATTACATAAGGAGAAGCTATCTCTGGTTGGCTGAGATCTAAGGACTAAGTCCATGTTACCTACAAAGAGATGAAGTTTTATGGTGGGTTAGATACAGGTGGGGTCTGGCTATCATGGAGGTGAGAAATTGTGAGGGGAGAGCAGTGGTACTGATTCCTCTTTGGTCTCCACCCTGCTAGACCATGAAGGTCATATATTACATAACATGCCACCCCAGATTGTCTGAGATCTGTAACTGTAATCCATGTTACCTACAAAGAGATGAAGTTTTATGGTGGGCCAGAAACTGGTGGGGGCTGTGTATCATGGGGGTAAGGAATTGTAAGGGGGGGGGGGGCAGTGATATTAGTGTGCCTGTTTACTTCCCTGCTGGACCTTGAGGGTCATAAATTACATAACATACCACCCCAGATTGGCTGAGACCTAAGAACATTTATTCCTGTTATCTACAAAGAGATTAGAAGTTTTATGGTTGGTTAGAAACAGGTGGGGGCCGAGTCGGCTGTATTGCCCTTTAGTGGTAATAAGTATGTGTACCATTTTAAAAATTACCTGGCTAACATCAGATGGCTGAATTTTTACTTTTTGGCAGGTTAGAATTGTATTTCTATCATTTAGACACAAGTCTGTTTAACAATTAATACATTTTGTGTTAACTATTCCTAAACCAATGTCATATTCAATGGTCTAATAAATGAGAAACTTGCACATAGGGTATCAAGAGCCACATAACAGTATCTGTTATAACTTTTCTGAACAGGCAAGCTAGTGGACAAAATTAATGTATTCATGTAGATTTAGTTATTATCTAGCAAATAAAACCATTATGGTAATGATCAGTCAAGTTTTACTTTGATAATGATAAAAACTTTATAGCATGGTAAAATGGGACAAATGTCGGCCATTTTGTTTTGGCACCAATAATCACTGTGCAAAAAAAATTCACCAAAATAAAACTATTCTAGCCATAGCTATAAAAATAGTGTTAAAATGAACAACAACCAATGCTCTAATACAGGAACAAAGAATGGGCTTGAAAAACTCATTTGGTTTATTACAAAGTGAAGTTTCCCAAGTTATGTCTATTTGGAAAAAAAGTTCACAAAATGGTTTTATGGAGATGAGAAATTTTAGGGAAAGAGCAGTGGGATTAAATCCTGTCTCATCCTCTCCCTATAGGACCAAGTGGGTCATAAATTACATAAAATGAATCCTCTGCTTCTCTGTTATCAAAGAACAGTAGTGGTTGTTACCTCAGAAGTAGATTAGCAGTGTTATTGGGGGTTTTGTGGGGGTGGGGTGTTGATTGGGGCTTAATACCACACGGCTCTTAACGCCCTCCTTTACCCTAGGCCTAATAAATAAGGCCTACTACTACTAGTAGTGTACTCATTAGTAAAGATTCCTTTTTAACTTTAGACCTAACAATCCATTGGCCATTGGGCAGATGAAGTGGAGTTCGTATGTATAGGCCTATAGTATATATTTCTTGACCTCGGCATATAAAGGGATAATGTGGTCAGTGCAATGCCCAGCTGCCTTTACTTTACCTAATGTGACTTCGGCACCCATCAGAGTTGGGTAAACTCAGGGACGTTCCACTAATTTGAACCCGGATTCAAACTCAAAACTATTGGGCTAGCAATCTAGCGCTCCACCGCTAGGCCACACCGTCCCTTGATTAGTTAGACCCCCCTTTATAATTTCTAATATTTCATTTCTTAACTACTAAACTTACTTAACTTTCCACTTATAATTCTTTATCTTATCACCAGGCTAGGCCTAACTTTTTTTGTTACTTTGTTTTATGTCTTTATTCTTACTCTTGAAATAAATTACTCAACTGTAACTGATGTTTTATAAGACCATATGCCAAATGGTGATAGATCTAGATCCAGTTATTCTAGTAATAAGTTACCAATCCTAAGTATCATACCTGATAGAAGATAGATCTAGATAATCTAGTAACAGAGTTAGTAGAAGTTATAACACAAGAAACAAAACTCCCTAACCTTCTTCCCCGGCAACAATGATCCTATACTGAAACGTCACACTATTGCATATCGCGTCACCATGCCATGCATTCATTATGTCTTTCACATCAATATTCGTTCACACCAACATGCCTGATCAAACACACATCATAACACCTAGAACTTACTGTACTTACCACTTAGTTCTTAGTGTAGGCCTACTACTAACTAGATCTAGTAGTAGTTGTAGTTGCTTTACTACTATATCTTATACAGTTACTAGCAGTAGTAGTAAGTTAGTGATTTATATATTATATAAATGATTAAGACCAATTTAATAATTATTTATAGTAGGCCCTAATTAGTATCTAGGCCTATATTTGTTCTGACAGTCAGACTGGATAGAGGTATATCTGGCCTCTATAAGTGATTCCCAGTCAACTGGAGATTTTTTTAATTTATTATTATAGTAAAGCTCTGTAAGATTATATTTAGTAGAAACGACATAGCAATGGTTATACTATACCTATTAAATATTTGTGCCACTTAATTTTGCCTCACATTTATAGATTAAGTTAGGACAGTTAGTTTACTTTTCATATTGCTGAAATTAACATAACAGTTATTAAGAAACATAATCAAAGTCTCAAGGCCTAATACATCTTTTAATTCACATAGACCTATCCTTATAAATTAATTATAATAGCAGTTATTTATTAATTTTGTTTTGCATGTTATTAACCTTACTAATAGACCACTATCACTTTATATTTTTCATTTAGATTAATCATGACAATCCAATATGGCTGTATTGCAAGAGGTACAAGTGTCCTTTGCTCAAGTGGGCCAGGAAATTTTACAGAGACAGTTCTGTCAATGCTTCCTAATATTCCACCAATAGATGGGAAAAAGACCTACACTTCTAACAAGTAGGCTATAATTTTTTTTTTTTTAAATTCATTTAATGGGTACATTCCTGTCACAATCCAGAGACTATTAAGTTCGTAAAGTTGGAACTAATGTTATTGTCCAGGATGATGACTAGGTTTGGGTTTAGTTAACATCCAGTGTCACCAATGCTAAATTCTGAGTATCTTAATGTTTCTCAGCCTCTAATTAAACAAGAAAGTATGCTTTTAAATTGATCCATAAAACACAAATTTAATTATATTTTCAACTAATGCTTTTGCATTATTATTTGTAAAATTTTGTAATGCTTGTCTAGTATAAAAAATTTGGTAATGGTATACTCATTAATAAATATGCCTCTTCTCATTGATTCTACTCTAATCTTAAAAATGTATTCATTGACTTTCATATTGCAGTTATGAGTTTCACTGCCTTATTGAGAATGGCCTTTTGTACATGTGTGCTACAAATAGTGGTGTTAACAAACAGCAGCCATATGGCTTTTTAAATGAGGTTAGTTTTTAACATATTTTCAAAGGAGAGAGTTGTATTCATCATTCATTATACTAATCCAAATACCTGTAAAAATTTGAATTAGATTTAACCTGCTCCAGTTACATGTTGTTTTTATATTGTATCTTCAATTCTTTTTTTTTATAGATCAAGCGCAGACTCCAGACTGATGGATTAACAGGCAATGCTATGACTGCAAGCTCTGGAGGTCTTGATGGAGAATTTAGCTTTGTATTATCACAGCTGATTGTAAGGAATCACCAAAAATCATTGGTTTAAGTTTCGCTTGAGAGAATGTTATAAATATTGAAAGACAAGGAAGAACTAGTTTTAGCTGGCTTTTATAAGCACAATTTTATTTTAAGTAAATCTGAGTTATTAGAAAAGTTCTATAATTTTGTAAATGATTTAATTACAGCATAATTTAATTGTCAAAAAAATTGAAGCACCTTGTTATTTATGGATTATGTTGTTGATTTGTTTATTATTATATCTATTCCATGATTTAATTCTAAAGAAATTTTTAATTACCAGAAAAAGTACTCTCAACCTGGAGCTGGTGCCAGTAGCGCTGTTGCTACAGTGCAAGCACAAGTTGAAGAGGTCAAAGGTGTAATGTCACAAAACATTGAAAGAGTCTTACAAAGGGGAGACAAGCTAGAAGATTTGATGGATAAAACTGAAGAGCTAGAAGCAGGGGTAAACCTTTTTTTTTTCTTCAAAATTTAACTTCTCCCAGTAAATGCCTTAAAATATTGACTTCTTCTTCAGTTTAAAAAAAAAAAAGATTTAATACCTCAGAACCATTAATTAAATAATAAAAAAAAAAAAATACATGGCAAAATGTTTTTGAAAATGTATGTTTAATTATTTTACAGGCAGCCTCTTTCCAGAAAACAGCAAAGAAAATACAGAAGCGTTACTGGTGGCGCAACAAGAAAATGACAATAATTCTTGTTATTGTTGCGCTCGTCGTTGTTCTGATCATTACACTCATTATCCTTTTCTCCACCCATGTCCTGCCACCCAAAAGTGATGATGATTCCAAAACTACAGTGAAGCCCAATTGATGTATATGTGTCATTATAGTATTCTTATGTGTTTTTTTACATGTTATGCTCAACTCCTTTCCCCATATGTATATATAAATAGATATATATATATATATATATATATATATATATATATATATATATATATATATATATATATATATAAATATAACATCATAGGGGGAAAGGTAACATTTCTTTAAAACAACTGCTGTTGAAAGTTTTGATATAATAATTTTATTAAAGTTTTTATGCTTTTTTTTTTTACAAAAAAAAATTGTTTAAATATTTTAATGAAGCAGTACAAAGACAAAGATTTGTTTAAGATAAAATAACTTTACTAGTTTATTATGTTGATCTTCAGTTCAATTAATATTTCATCAGTAGATATACAAGTTTTAAACTGCCATTGCCCTGGCTCAGAAACTGCTCTTACAGTGTTTTTCCTTATAGTTAGTGCACAAAAACATGTATGTGCCATTCTTTTTTTTTACCCATTTTAAAGCCAGAAGTAATAATAAAATTTTGAGGCTATGATCAGGGAATTGTTTCTGTTGTTGAAAAGAAATAAATTAACCAATATAGGATGAGGTTGTTCTTTTTTAAATGTATCAATCAAGGTTATGGAGTTTAATTTGTAATTATAACATTATTTTCTTACAAATAAGTTAAAAAGCATATCGTAATATTTTTTACCCTTGTGTGGATGCTGCTTCATATTTATATTTCACCTCTCTTGTTACCAAATTATTTAATATAATTAATTGTTTGGTAGGAAATATTAACCAACAGTGCCATGATTTTTAATCTTTGTTGTTTTTTGTTTTTTTTCTGTAAAAACAATTTAAATAACATCGTAGATCTTTTTTTAAGGCTTATAGTAACAACCACTTAGCTTATTCTTATGCACCCATCTATACTCAACTTTGTTTAATTTTTGGCTCATCACTCTATAAAAGATGTCTTTCAAGCAAATAATTTACCTGTATTTCTCTGCTCATGTAAAGTTGTTAAAACTAAATGACCCAAATTTGTTGGTCATATTTATTCAATTTGTTTTACAAATGTAAATATTTATCACTGTTGAATTTTTATCAACACAGAACCAAACATTCCAGATTTTTCTATTGTGTCCAACCAGACAATATTATGACATCATTCTCCATCCTGCCTTAATCTATGGATGTCATAGAATAGATTGATGGGGCACACACACTTTGTCCAAAATAAAATGTTACAGAAATTTCTAGTATAAATACATTTTTAACCTATGTATATTAACGCATATATATTTTACAAGATATTTAATATTTAAATTTTCATCAACTACATATGTATTATAGAAATGAGCATATGAACTGTGCAGGTATTTGATTTCCATCTGTTTTGTGCTGACTCAACAGTTTGAATCATCAGTAACAAATAAAACTCTACTTTTGAAAATATCCCACCCATCACAATGTCTGTCTTTGGATATTGTCCACCCATTACAATGTCTGCCTTTGGATATTGTCAACCCATCACAATGTCTGCCTTTGGATATTGTCCATCCATCATAATGTCTGCCTTTGGATATGGTCAACCCATCACAATGTCTGTCTTTAGATATTGTCGACCTATCACAATGTCTGCCTTTGGATATTGTCCACCCATTACAATGTCTGCCTTTGGATATTGTCGACCCATCCCAATGTCTGCTTTTGGATATTGTCGAGCCATCCCAATGTCTGCTTTTGGATATTGTCGACCCATCCCAATGTCTGCCTTTGGATATTGTCGACCCATCTCAATGTCTGCTTTTGGATATTGTCCACCCATCACAATGTCTGCCTTAAAGTGTCCCCTCTATTATAATGTCCTACCAATTACAATTAGTGTTGTGATGTCATTCTATCAGGTTTAGCATCTGCTAGCAAATAAAAACTAACCAGTAATTTGTATAAAATTCTTGTGTTTAAAATAATTTAAATTTTAGCCAGCAAGAGGATGTTTTTCTTTATTAGGTTATTACAATAAAATCTTTCAAAACATGTTTTGGATGCCGTTTGTTTTAATACATTGATTATTGATGTCATGTTTTAATCAATCCAATGACAAATCATGTGTTATCAGTCATTAAGGCAGTCATTGAAACAAAGAACACACATTCCATCTATCATCTACTGTCTTTAAGGTATATTAAATACATATTATTAATATTTATTGTAAGATTAGGTTGTTAGAGATTTTAAAGTATATTAATATCTTACAACAGTTTACATACTATTACCTCTTTACGAGCAGTTAAGATTAAATTATTACTGTGGACAGCTGTGAAAACTAGCCCAGGACTGAGTTCCTTACAAGTCTTACCTGTGGCCTAAGCCATTGTAGGATGACACATTACTCTGCCCAGATGGAGTTTACAAGTACTAGTAATACAGATAAAAACAATAGCTGTATGCATACCATTTAAAAGTGGCCACTAATAGGTGTGTGATGGGTTAATTAATTTTTAAAATCCTCCACCGTACACTTTGCCTACACCTCCCCCAGCCTCTTCTGTAAGCTCAATGCAGCTGATTTTCAAGTTAAATTGGCCTACACTGTAAAACCAGTTTATTTTATTACTATTTTTTTGCATTATCCTTAATTACGTTATTAAAACATAGTTGTTAAGTATAAATACATTTTTCTTTTTTAAAACACGTAACACAAACAAATGGGCTGGAACGTAGTAATGATATTTCATATAATTTCAACGGTGAAAATTGCCTCGAGATACGAGCAATTTGACATACGAGCAATGTTACATAAGGAATTAAAATTCGAATCTCGAAATTCCCCTGTAGTTATGTATGCCCATTATAGGGCTGGTAAGTAGGTCAATAAACAGTTCTATAGCTCATGCAGGTTTTATTGAGCCGTAGAACTGGTTGGTGACCTACTTACCAGCCCTATAGTTGACCCGATAATCCCTATGCCGTCTACCCCCTCCCGCTAATGACTTTAAACATTTCAGCAACTTGACTGTTTAATCTCATAGTGACCAGAAATCACCATACGGCACACGTCACGTTGATCAAATAAATTAAAACATTAATGCTTAAAAACACGTGATTAAATTGGGTTAAACAGAATTATTCTTTCCGGCAAAACAACAAGTTATTTTTAATTCGTCAGGGATGAGTCATCGTTTGGTGCGTGAATCATGGGCTCTATTTACGGCTCAGGTAGATCCGCTTTACATTAGATTGTAAGGTCACCCAAGATTTATATTTTTACTGTCACTTAAGTATGTTGAGCGTAGCGTATACGCCCTATAGATAGTTATAATTTTTCAAATATATCAAGTTCTAAATATAACGGGACATTTGTATTTTTTAATGTTAAACATTAACCACACGCGGCGTGGTATATGACGTCACGAATTTGGAAATAGGGCCTACATGCTCTAGCCGTGGCTCATTATACGACTTGTAAAGTTACAAACTCTTTTTAAATGCCACATTATAGGCCTATAACATAAGAATTTACTCTTACTAAATGTCACATAATCAGTGTTTCTTCCAGACTTTTTGCTCCCGGGGGGAAGACGTGTGTAGGACAAAAGGCCGACATGGACAAAAGGCCGACAGCCAAAAGGCCGACAGGACATAAGGCTGTCGGCCGACAGACCATAAGGCCGACAAACCATAAGGCCGACAAACCATAAGGCCGGCAAGCATAAAAAATAATATCGCAAAATATGTGTTACTGCATAGCTCCTATCTTGACAACCATCGAAATAAGGCATGAAATAAGGTGAAACGTTCAAGAGAAGTGATGGTACTAGTTGCTATTCTTATAAGGTGAACCGTCTGGTCAAGCGACTGGAGATTACGGGAGTGTCTTAAACACAAAGGATCAACACCTAAATATTGCGGAATGCTGTCATTGCTGTCTTTCATAGCTCCTTCTATGTCAAAGGGGTGAGATAATCATCAAAGAACCAAGTCAAAAGCCGCCGGCATCATCGCCACATGCAACAAGGTGGAACGTGAAGAGACAATGCTTGTTGCGATCCTCATAAGGTGAACAATGAAGTCCATAAGACCGGAGATGACGGGAGTGTACAAAGGATAAACAGAAAGGTGGCGTTACCACCATATTTCGCATAGAAATCAAAGAAACCGAATGAAGTAGAACGATCATGTGCCTTGACTGGACTGCATGTTAAATACAGGCAAACTTTGAATTATATTTTAGTTTCGTCCATTGCGAATTGCGTGAAAAAAAAAGTGTATACTATATTCGTTGGATTCATTAATTCTGTTGTGATTGTGATACAAGTGTGCCAAAATTAATAAGTTATTTTTTGTTTTTTTTGTGTAAACTTGCCCCTGTGATTTCCCTATATATGGACCAATATATGGTCAACAAATAATTGGTTACATCGTGTGTATTATTTTATCCTATTGTATGTACCTAAGAATATTTATGAGAAACTTAAACAGTCGTATATAATTACATATTTTAGTTATTAAACATGTCTGCTATTGTAGTTTGTTGTTTTATAAAAGTTATCGGCCTTTTGTCTTGTCGGCCTTTTGTCCATGTCGGCCTTTTGTCCGGATCCCGAGGAAGATTATATTTTCCGGGGGGAGGGGGGGGGGACACTGGTAAAAGTATATATTTTATATACAAATTCCAATTCGTTCGGGAGGGGGGGGCGGTAGACTTTTGAATGTTGTAGTTATTTAGATAGTACTGTATCAACCAGCGGTTTTTTAATGTGTTTTTTTTAGCTTATCTTAATGTTTTAAAGCTGTTTTTCAGCATACGCACCACATGTCAATGCTTTTCTCTAAATGGTTGCATTAGGTTGAGTTTGTTAATGCTGCTGGAAAATATAACTGTATATTGTTCCCAAGTTTTATGGTCCAATTCATATTGTATGGTTCGCCGTCTGTTTCAGAAAAATGTATAAGAGAAAATATGAATAATCGTCCATAAATGAGGGTTTTTTTCTTTGACGTTTTTATTTTTTTTTTGGACGATTTTTTTGACGATTTTTACCGTCCACTTCTCCTTTTATCAAACATTATCAGAAAAAGTCACGCCCCCACACTAAAATGACTAAAAGTGGC